GGGGGGGGGGGGGGGGGGGGGGGGGGGGGGGGGGGGGGGGGGGGGGGGGGGGGGGGGACCAGACCGGGGGCCCTCGGCCGGCTCGTTTATCCGCGCGGTTTCGTCGTTTTGCGGCCGAAACGTAGACGCTGCGAAACCTCCGCCGCGCCGCGGACATAATATCCGAGACACGCGCGCACGTATTATTCCTCGGCTCGGTTACCGAGCCAGTGCCGGAGCAACCGGATCGTTTCTTCCCGCCGTTTTTCCATCGTCTCTCCGTAAACGTAAACGTAAACGTAAAGGTAAAGGTAAAGGTAGATCGGGATGATCGAGCGATAGAGAACAGTGAAAGTATTTAATCGTTGGCAAGCGTGAATAACTTTGCCCCGATGCCAATCAACACGAATCGTCGAATCGGTCGAGCAAATTTTCAAAAAAGTTGCAAAAACGAAGCTGCAAAGTGCTCGCTGCGCGAAACGTAGGCGAGAGAAGGGGAGGTCTTTTCCTTTTTTTTTTTTTCTTACTCGAGAAAGTGAAAACCAAAGCCGCGAGCAGCGTGAAAGGCATTCGTGCGTACGGTATATATGGTGTATCGGTATATCGGTCCATTGGTGGAAAATTACAGGGGAAAAGGAAGGAAAGGAAAGGAAAGGGAAGGGAAGAGAAGAGAAGAGAAGAGAAGAGAAGAGAAGAGAAGGGAAGGGAGCGGAGGTGATGTTGGGTGTCGTTTGAAATGGTCGCGAAACGACACTCGGACATCGGGTGTTTTCGCACCCGGGATTTTCGAGGATACGTCGTGGGTGTCGCGATGCTGTCATCGCGATGCGGGGACGAGTCTGCCTTTTTTCCACGGCGGCAAATCGAATCACCGTGTGCACGCAGCCGTGTCGAGGTCGAATACACCTATTATATACACACTCCTACCTATAGTTGACCGTTCTTCGAGCTATATACGCGTAAATCTATGTATCTCTAGCATCTAGGCATCACTCTGTGCTCCGTACTCTGTGCTCCATGCTCCGTCTCGTTCGTACTCGTGGGTGCAAACACACAAAGGAAACGGAAAAGTAAACAGAAGAAGAGAAGAAAGTTGGAAGTCGTAGCCAGCGACTACGACTGAGTGAAAAGAGAAGGGAAGAGAAGAGAAGAGAAGAGACAACCTGCAGAACAAATCGCGTGTACGTGTCGTAGGAAGCGTAACAGGTAGTTACTCGTACCTTGTCTGGCTGGTGGCTGGTGGCTGGTGGCTGGCGGTTGGCAGCGTGCGAGGATACGGTTGTATAGCACTCGCGAGGCTCCGGGAGCGGACGATACGCCCCTGAATCCGAGAGTTTGCACGCGCAGGTAAATATCGTCCAACGCGATCGCGCGGCCACGACTGAACTCGCTCTCCACAGGCGGCGTTTTACCTGCGACAGGAGAGACCTCTCAACACAGCCCGCAGTTCCAGCACCGAGCCGCTATCCACTCTCTTTCTCACTCCCTCGCGCTCCTTACCTGTCGATACAGGTATACGAGCAAGCGCAAATGTTTGCGTGCAGCCGGCAATGTGTTGCTCTCACCTTCTTCCACGGCTCTCCTTCCTACCTAGGCTCTCCAACCACCCACCTATTTACGCCTACGAGTAAGTGCGTGGCCTTATGTCGCGCCGCGGGACCTCGCAGCAGCTACGCTTACGTATTTTTCCGCCGGCTTCTTCTCCTCTCGCTTGCCTCCTCATCCACGCTCCGATCCGATCCTCGCGGACCGCGTTACTCGCGCGTTATCCAACCAGTTTGATCTGCAACACCTATCCTCTCCTGTTTACTCATTTTTGGTCAGTTGGGCCGATTTTTCCTCCTCGGTTCTCCTCGCTGAACGTGTGCGTGCTACGTCGACCACAAGTCGAGAGGAGTTGCTTTTCTCTTTACAAACGGACTCGCAACGGGCTCTGTTTCATCCACACCTCCGTCTCCTTTCTACCCTTTCTCTCTCACACGTTTAAAAACGTCTTAAAGTTTTAAACGAGACAAAAAGGTACCGATCTTTTGGAACTTTGGAAAGACACGTACATGTACGTATGTATGTATGTATGTATGTATGTATGTATGTACATTTGGCCATACGTACGCGTGTGTGAATAACAAGTGCAGAGAGTTCGATGGCCTCACTCTCTCGGTACGAACGTTCGGAGATGCATTCTCCGAGCATCTGGGGATAAGTCCAAAACGTACTTGTCTTCTTTCGTTTCTTTTCGCATTTCAGATCGGTCTCAGTCTCGTTCGTTGTCATTGCTCCCTTTCTCTTTCTCTCTCTCTCTCTCTCTCTCTCTCTCTCTCTCTCTCTCTCTCCTTCTTTCTGTCCGGTTTAGCATACGTCCATAAATGGCAAGCTGAAGACCTTGGACACCCACATCCGAACTTTTCTCTTCTTTCTCCTTCTTACGTCTTTCCCTTCCTCTTTTCCATCCAGAGAGAGAGAGAGAGAGAGAGAGAGAGAGAGAGAGAGGGAGGGAGGGGGGGGCAGTGGGGAGAGGAGAGGAGAGGAGAGAACTGTACCGCAAAAGTGACAGAAACTGAGATTCCGTTTCGTTAGCTTTGCAACAAGCTTCAAACTCGTTATTTGTCTATTTCCTTTTCTTTCTTTTTTTTTTTTGTTATTCGCTTTCAATTTATTTCTACAGGGATCATCCGCCTTCTTGTCAGCTATCTCACGCGCGGACTGTCCGTTTCAACCATAATCTACGCACGCTCCGATCCAGTTGACTCGTTCGACGACGAAACCTGAAACGTAACGTGACGAGTCACTCGACGAAGCGCGTTCAGCCCTGCGCTGCGCCCGGGGAGAAAGCTCGAGGGCAAAGGGAGAGAAGAAAGATAAAAAGACGAGGGAAAGTAAGAAACGGGAGCAATTACCATAACAGGATTCCTCTCGGAGGAAAAATGGCACTGAGAATGTAATTGACACGCCAAGAACCACCCGAAGAGCGAGCGGTCTGGGCGGTGAAAGGATGCAGAGTTACAAAGGATACAATCCCTGTTTTAAATGGCAGCGTTCTCGATCATCGGATTACGCAGAGGGTGGGCGCGTTCACCTCCGCGCGCCCACGGAATGGCAGTTTTAAAAGTTGTGCCTTCAGCTTCCGAGTTTCGCGGGATTCTGTGACGGACCGGTTGCTTGGGTCCTCCTGCTCTCACTCCCGAATACGGCCATCTGTATGTACGTATGTACATATGTATGTAGCGTATGCTATACGCCACGTGCATTATACACCGTATGTACGGTTATGTATTATATATGGTATTATATACCATACGCTGCGACTACGGTATATTCTGATCTCTTTTCGAATCTGCTCGTGGAGATGAACTCGTCCGATGAAAATCTCCTTGCGTGTCAAACTACATAAACACGTACATATCTACATGTGCACATACATACATACATACATACTCACTATATGGATTGGAGGTAGAGGAAGTTCAAGAGGTTTGTTTACTCGGCGTGGTAAACTATAATATATTTACTTTATTAAATTACTTTTTAAATAAAAATACATTTCTTTCGAGAGTTTCATTTCGATAAAAGTTTATCCCGCGGGCTCGTTTTACGTTAACACAGTCTTTGCGAAAGAAAAATACAATACGTTATTACGATTCTCGTTGCAGAACTTGCGTCCCTACCGACGCGTTAGATTCTTGCATACAAAAGGGCCATTGTACAAACGCGGATTTAGAGTCTGCCGTTTGTGTATGCATTAAATGCAAAATGGCGGGAGAAGAAAAAAAGAGAGAAAAAGTACTCTTGCTTACGCGGAGCGAATTTCGCTGTAAAAATGGAAAGAAAAAAGAAGATGGCAAGTTCTCTCAGAGCGGAAATGTTCGTTAATAAAGAAGGAAGCAGCTTTGCGAGATTTCACCGCAGTGTGAAACGCAACTCACTATTGGAGAATCGTACGCTATATTTAATGGAATGAAACATTTATCGTTTCATCATATCGAACATTGTACTCTGGCGACTTTTCGAGAAAAAAGAGGAAAAAGATAAGAGTAGAACGGATATCGTAAATTGATTTTAACATTAGCGATTAGCAAATTGATTTTAGAGTAATAATGCGAAACGATGATCTTTAGATTCGCTTCAGTTTCGATACGATTCGAGATGTAGTACGAGGTTCATCAAAAATTTGGCCGTTTCGTCTGCAATAGTCCAACAACGCGTATTCTATGAGAAAATGGCGGAGTTACAATCTGTAACTCCAACGCGACTGTACGAGGTAGAACACTTTAGGTGAAGGGAATACATATTTATATTTTCATTTCTAAAACGCTTGGAATTTCATCGATAAGAAAAGAAAGCCATTTTCCTTCTCCTCTCTTCACGCAGATGTATTCTTGTTCGTTGTAAGAAACACGATTCGTTGATAAACCTTTGGTTGTTGATTCGTCGATTAACAAAATGGTGGTCCGTCTTCGACTTGAAATCGTTGAGAATGTAACCTTTCGAGGTCGTGCTCGTTTTCGAAAAATTGAATTTCATGGACATCGCCATTGATATCGGTACTCTTTAGCCTCTTTAACGTACTCGTTGTGTTCTTTTTTTTTTTCTTTTCTTTCTTTTTCTTTCTTTTTCTTTCTTTCAATTTTTGCAAAATGCTTTGAAAAATCGATTGAAAATCGTCGCAAGGCACGCTGGCAATTTGTCTTTTACACGATTGTTATTGCACGATCAATGCAAATCCCACTCGTTGGTGCAACGTTCGTAACTGGCGAACGATTCTTGAACCGGTGCGCTGCGAGGACGGTGTTTCGTCGCTCGTCCTTCCATCTTTGGGAAACGCAAATGAAACACAGCGTTTTTCCGCTGAAAGATAGTTTTCCGTCGCCTCGAAAATCGTGCTCGGTCCCGTCGCTCTCCGAGGCAGTCTGTAAAAGAAAAAAGAGAAATATGTTTATTGGACGAATAAACGATTTAAGAAAAGAAGAAGAAGAAAAGAAAAGGGAAAGGGAAAGGGAAAGGGAAAAGGAAAGGAAAAAGTGAACAAACTGTGAGACAAAGTGTCTTGATACTTTTGAACGGCAGTGTGTACGGCACGGTACACTCTATACCGCGAGTACAGCAAGTAGGCTGCGATATCGATTGGCCTGTTGCGTCGATGGACAAATATACCGCCGGTATGTTCTTTCCTTTTACAATTGATGTTTCACACGCGTCGCTTTCAAGACGATGCTGTTATTTCGAACGGGAAACTCAACAGAACAGAGCGCAGCCCTCTCTCGCGCGCGCGAGACCGCGGCTGTTAAACGGCCGAAAATAGGAGGACGTGTTAATGTCCAAAGCTTGTTGCCGACAAATTTATGCCTCCCTGGTTCCGAATTTATGCCAGCAGCCTCCTCGTATTGACAGTATCAGCTACAAGTGGCCGTATGACGCCACCTATGCCGAGACTTTATGCAAAACCATCGGGGTAACTTTGTACGAAGCGAAATAAATTAACAGGCGATGACCGATAATAACACCGTCGATCCGCATTCGATCGCTTTGTGCATTTACGGGAGATGTTCGATAAACGCGAAACTCTACAGTGTAGCGTAATTGTTACCTGCCTACAGATACAGATACAGATATATACCCGAGAAGACTTGAAAATTACGAGAAACAATTGGCTGAAAGAAGCTGAAAGAAGTCAAACGCTTTGTCGCTAGTTTCGTCTCTCCGTCACACCGGATCCTAATTTTATCCCAGGAGACGGACAAGACGTGGCTCGTACCCTGTGTGTGACAAGCAGTTCTCGAGCTCGTTCGAGCACGAAACTGAATCACAAATTAGATACACCGAAAGAGACGAAGAGAGAGACGAAATAATGTAATACGCGGGACGTCGCGAGCAGTACGTAACGGCAAGAGGTAAAAGCGATATCGTGGAATCGCTTTATCTCGTTCGTATCTCCGTTCGTAATGAAAATTATTTCGATTTGACGTTACTGGTCGCTCGTTGGCAACGAGCTCCCTTTATAAAATATTGCTTTCGAAAACTCGTCCCGAGAGCAGAGATACGCGTGTACCTCCCTCGCACACTCTCGGCGTACACGACGACGCTTAAATATACATACAGAGTGCGTCCGGTTTGAACGAGGAAATGATGGAAAAATCTTCGTGTAAACTCCAGTTTGCATACGTTTACGACAGTTTCTAAAATACAATGGTGTCGCTGTTGTTAATTCATCGTTACATTGTTCAGCTCGTGGCACATTGTGGAACATTGTGATCGCCGTAGAGCCGCTTTGTCGCCTGAAATTTATTGCTTTTCGCTTTATTGTATTTGCGATATTTTCATCGTTTACGTGTTACGTTTGTTTTTCATAATATACGCGCGTAAAAACAATATTCGCGTTCGTGTATCGGCTGTGTTGAACGGCTGACGAATAATCAAAGGCTCGCTTCTTTTTTCATCAATTCCTGTCTATAATTCTGAAGAATAAATTTCGATTTGATCGAGACTGTTGGAAAACTGAAGGTGGGTAAAAGGAGGGACATTCAAAAGTCACGAAGGCAGTTCGTCAGCCGACAAATGGACGAGTCGATAAATCGACGAATCGAAAGACACTATAAACTCACTTCGATCAGGCTTCCTGCAGTTCTCCTTTGATCCCGGGTACGCTGTGATGATGCCTCGAGGCGAGTTTATTCGCCAGCTCGTGCATCACGTCCCGGTATATCACCGTGTCCAAATTCTCGCCGAGCATGTACAGAAGAAACCAATCGCCGACTTTGCTCCGCCGAACTATCGTCTCCACGGCTTCTCTTCTGACCAAGCGAAACCGCAGTCGCAGAAGGTACACCCTCGTCCGCGGCGAAAATATAATTACGATCTACAATGTACGATAGAGAAAGACAATTGATATATACATATATGTAAAAAGAAAGAATAAGAAATATATATATATATATATGAATGCAATTATCTTCGAAACTATTCCAATTAAATTAAAAAACATCTCATTAGATAAATTAGATTGAAACAGGGCATCCTTGAGATATACAAGAAAGACAAACAATATATAGACAAGAAGAATAAAATAAAATGTGTATAAAGGAAGAAGAATGAGAAATGAGAAAAAGGGAAACGAGAGGGCCAGTCTTACCCTGTATAAAACCGTGATGAAGCTGAGCACGCCGAGAAAGAGGAACCAGAACCAAAGAAAGACGTAGATCTTCTCATTGACGACGTTCAGGGGCAGTATGCAAACGGCGTCGTGCCTCTCGACCTCGCCGCTCACCCCGTATTTGTAGAAGGTGCACTTGGTCATCCTGGGGAATACGTAGATCATCGGGTCGACCCGGTCCTCTTGATCCGACTCGAGAAACCTGAGCACGTCGATGCCAAACGTGAGAAACGCACCGTCGAAGAACCGGTTCATCAGGAACATCTGACCTGCGCAAATTCATTTGCCCTTCTTGTCATTTCTATGATTTTGTGTCAGAAATTTTTTAGATTCGTAGCTTTGAAATTGCGATCACTTTAATTAATTAATTAAATTTGATTGATTAAATAATTGAATAATTGCGCTCGCCAGGCTATTGTGAAAACGTGCGTGAAAAAGTCACGAGTGATACTCGAGTGCTCGGAGAAGCTGACCGACGACAGCTTGCCGAAACGGACGGAAAGTGGCCGTTAAAGAAAACGGATTGACGGATGATCGCGTGTATTGGCCGTTTAGGTGTGGCACAGGTGGTCCGTTGTATCGTTGCCAAATTTTATCGTGAATCGTTCATTCACCGCCGGCTGCTTGTTGCATCACGCTTCTTCGAGTCGAGAAAGAACTATCCACCTGGCGAACGGGCGCAAACGAGCGCAAACGAGCGCAAACGAGCACCGCAAAAGAAACAGAAAGCAAATGCAAATGAAGGTAGATGAAGGCGAGTAAGCACGAGTTGTGGAGATTCTCTGATTCTCGCCTCTGTTTATTGACGAACAGTCCGATCGGGAAGTCCAATTTTGTGATCGGCAAGCGGTGGAACGGTAAAGTTGGGACGTTGGATCATTTCGCCTATATTACACCAACATCGTGAACCAACATTTCGGTTTGATGTGTCGACAACCGAGAGAGCTCCTGCTCGTCGATGCTTGTTTATGCTCGTTTGTTTTATGAATTTACATACGGCGATATTACCCGGCGGAATTAAATTTAGACTGCAGATTTGCTTATGCAATCATGGGGGAAAGTATAATACAAAGTAGAGCTTCTCCCGTGTGTCTGAGCTGTACGCGTTAACAGAGAGAGAGAGAGAGAGAGAGAGAGAGAGAGAGAGAGAGAGATAAATGAAACAATATCGAATTTTATTTCGTGACGCACTTGCAATCTGATCGATGATTAAAGAGAAGAAGAAGAAAAAGAGAGAGAGAGAGAGAGAGAGAAATCCGCTTGCCAGGAGATTACAAAGAACTTCCTGATCAGCGCTGATCGGAGGAGGGGAAAGCAACGTATAAAGAAACGTGCCACTTTGAAATCCGTCAACCAACGGAGAAATATAGAATCGTTAAAAGAAACAAAACAAATAAGTAACAGAAAGAAGATAAACATATCAGCTGTTGAGTTAGCGGGCACGAGCGCAAACGGCAAGGGGAAGACAAATAGGAAAATTTTGACGGGCGAAGAGAAACATACAGAATGGCCGTATCACGGGTCCGGGTTTCGCGGGAAACCGAGGGGAATTGTTTGAAATTCGAAATAACCTCGAAACTCCCGCACGGTCGAGACAACTCACGTTGCAACTTGTCTCGTTGTCGTTGTCGTCCCGAAAGAAGGTTCAAACATGCCGAGAAAGGCTGTTTATCTTCGCTGCTTTGATAATTACACGTTTCCGAAAATGACTCGACTCGTTTGGAAAAGTTGATGCTTCCGAGTCAAAGTCCTTCCGGTACCACCGCTCCGTGGACGAAGCGGAGGGTCGATTTGCCAATTTAAAAATAACTAAAGAAAGCGAAGACCAGGGGTTTATTCGTTCGTCAAAGAGACGCGCGGAACGCTGAAGATCAAAGACTGCTTAGACGCGTATTCTTGGAAAACTGTCGCGTGACGAAGGGAAACGAATTTACGAAATAAATATACACGTACACGAGAGATTATACTCGTGGAAAACACTCACAGCGTTTAAAAATCGATGCAAAAAGAGAAAAGAAAAAAAAAAAAAAAGAAAAAGATGCAATATAGGAAAGAAGGAAAAAGAAGGTAAGAAATGCAACGATCGCAACATGTGATACCCGCTGGACTTTGTTAACACCGGTATCCGCTGAGTACCGCAAGAGTATTCATTATTGGATTCGGTTGACTCTAGTTGACAATCGGAAAGTTATCTCCATCTTCCAAAGTGAGCTTGTTTATCGAATGTTCATACGTTTGTCAGACGAATGAAAATTTTGTATTCGGCGTATTTTGAAATGACGTGGAACTACATGTGTTACCGGCATTCGGCTAAAGAATTCGAAACGACGTAGGATTACGTTACCGGTGGCGAAGAAACGCGAGTCTGCAAGTTTGGCAAGAGGATGAAATTTGAAATTTACAGAGGTAAAGAAGAAGAAAGAAAAAAAAAA